CAATTTTTGTGTCATTTTGACAAAGCGTATAGGCGTGACACTCAACAATGTGTATTTTCACCTTAGGGGACAAGAAAAAATGGACTTTTTTCTCCTGCCATGGGGGGGCGCTCTTTTGGGGAGTAAAAATTCCTTCACAAATGTGTTGATGGCTGGACATTGCATCATCCTAGAAAACTTGGAGGCCAGTGAGGACAAAAATAAAAAGTTATAAGACTTTTAAATATGTGGATTTTAGTGTTATCTTTGGCGCCCCCTAGAACCTAAACCTTGGGGTGCAGCGTCATGATTTTGATAACTTTTAATGGCCACGGGGTGTAGATTGGCCTGAGCAAATGTGGTGCCGGTGGAACGAAAGCCTTCGGAGGAGTTAGCGAAATTCCAATGTGTGCGGATCGGCAAAAAATGCGAAATAACCCTTTAACCGTAATTTTGACAGATACGGCCGCACTGACTTTTTTGTAGATCTTATTGAGATACATATGTGTGTCAATTTTTGTGTCAATATGACAAAGCGTACAGTCGTGACAGTCAATAGTGTGAATTTCCACCTTAGGGGGCGCTATGGAGCCATTTTGCATTTTATTGTTTTGGCGACTTCAGAATATCAAATTTTTCACCAGGCCCGGTCGTCCTGCCAAATTTCATGAGTTTTCGCCAGTGGGAAGTGGGCCATTTTCCAGTTCAAAGGGGAGGAAAAAGAAAAACTAGGACCCCGTTGGGGCACTGGCGGGCCCGAGCCGTGTCGCATCCCCCCCCCCCCAACGTGCTGCCTCCCCGTCCCATTTGTGTCCTCTGGCCATCGCCCTCTCTGGTAACGCCCATCACTGCAAAGACCCTTTTCCTTCATCGGCGTTTGCTGTTCTTCCTGCCAGTGCGTGTTGCTTTCACTTACACTTGCCACAGCCAGCCTCGTGAGTGCCTAGCCTATTGGATATCACTGTCACCTACACAGGACAGTAATTACCTTTCTATTAATACTTTGTGTTTTAATTTCACATTAATTTCCATATTGTATAAACGACTGGAAAAAACTTGAGCCCCTGCCCCTGTATAATCATGTGCATGTCTCTGTTCTAGCTCCAAGGTGAATCTTCACTGCTCATGTTCTCCTCACACTCACCTCACTCCCCTCAGGTTACTGTACACATGCACCAACTGCCTGCTTCAGGTTTGGATGGAGCTTCATGGTTGTCTTTTGGAGAAATGACCAGTCAAGTTGTGTTTGAAATTTGATTTTTTTCAGGGGCAAAAGGAGCCTCTGCATTCTTGTCAAATATGTAAATAGCATGTTTTTGCAGGTGCTAAAAACCAGACTCTGAGTGTGTGTGTGTGTGTGTGTGTGTGTGTGTGCGTGTGTGTGTGCGTGTGTGTGTGTCTATGTGTGCGTTCAAGTCACATGACATATTTAACCTGATGTAGCTGCAAGACGGAGCCTCGTTGACTCTCCGTTTCAACTTATCTCAAAAGTGAGGACCTCAACCTATATACCAGTTTTTAAATTGTGTTGATAGGCCAAATAAAACCAGAGTTATGATAAATTATGTCCGCGATACTTTTTTTCTGCTTATTTTGATCACGTTCGGCGCTCGATCGCGCTGTATGAGACAGGAAAACATAGCATGCAGACATTAGCGACAGGTCTTACAGGCGGAAAAGGCTTGCCAAAAGAAAAAAAAAACACACCACAACATCTCTCCTATTGGTGGAAAACTTCACCACAACAACCAATCCAAAATTATATGGTGACTGATTGACAAGGGGCGGGCGCTTACGTTCTTCCTGCAACATGAGAAGGGAGGGAGGGACTCTCAGCAGGGATGCAGTCTGGGACACGTAGTTGCAAACCTAGCGACTTTGTTGTTAGATTCAATGACTTTTCAGACACCCTAACGACTTTTTTTAGAAAGAAAGGGACTTTTATCGACTTCTTCTGGAGTTTAGAGACTCTGACATGAAGCAGGCTTTCCTTACTGAGGAGTTAGCAACGCTGCTAAGGGTGCAGAGCCACACATGCGCTCAGAGCTCTGCATGGGAGACTGAAGCTGACAGAGCTGCAGCAGTTAGCAGGTTTCACCCTCAGAGACCACCAGGGGTTCATGTTGAGGCATTTTAATTTTTTTTTTTTTTGTGCCATAGACACTGTCAGCAAAATCTGCAGTTACACTAACAAAAATGCTGCAAAAAACAAAGAATTATGGAAAAATTACACATGGACTGACATAGAGGAGGATCTACACAAGTTTTTTACATCATGTTTTACATCATGCATCATTTACATCATGTTTTTTTGTAGTGGCATAAATAAAAAGTGACATTTGTGAGACTATACAGTGTTTTGTAAATAATTTTACAAAGAACACCTGGGCCATTGCCTGCATTTTGATGTAAATAGAGGTAAATTACTATGTTCTTTGTTAAAAATTTGCATATGTTTTGAAGTTTACAATTTTTATTTGAAGTTTAAGTTTTAAAAACAGTTCATCACACATATTTGTGGTTTAATTTCACATTAATTTCCATATTGTATAAATGACTGGAAAAAACTTGAGCCCCTGCCCCTGTATAATCATGTGCACGTCCCTGTTCTAGCTCCAAGGTGAATCTTCACTGCTCATGTTCTCCTCAGAAATAGTCACCTCACTCCCCTCAGGTTACTGTACACATGCACCAACTATCTGCTTCAGGTTTGAAATGGAGCTTCATGGTTGTCTTTTGGAGAAATGAACAGTCAAGTTGTGTTTGAAATTTGATTTTTTTCAGGGGCAAAAGGAAGCCTCTGCATTCTTGTCAAATATGTAAACAGCATGTTTTTGCAGGTGCTAAAAAACAGACTCTGAGTGTGTGTGTGTGTCTGTGTGTGTGTGTGTGTGTGTGTGTGTGTGTGTGTGTGTGTATGTTGGCGTGTGTGTATATGTGTGTGTATCCTGCAGTACTCTGTACTCCTGCAGTGGCCAAAAAGACTTTTAAGAATGTGGATTTTTGGGTCATCTTTGGCGCCCCCTAGAACTGCAGTACTCTGTACTCCTGCAGTGGCCAAAATGACTTTTAAGAATGTGGATTTTTGGGTCATCTTTGGCGCCCCCTAGAACGTAAACCGTGGGGTGCAGCGTCATGATTTTTACAACTTTGAATGGGCATGGGGTGTAGATTGCCCTGAGCAAATTTGGTATCGGTGGGACGAAAGCCTTAGGAGGAGATAGCCACATTCCAATGTGTGTGAATCGGCAAAAAATGCAAAATAGCCCTTTAACCGTACATTATACAGATACGCGCTCTTTGACTTTTTCGTAGATCTAATTGAGATACACATGATTGTCAATTTTTGTGTCAATATGACAAAGCGTTCAGGCGTGACACTCAACAATGTGTATTTTTATGTAAGGGGACAAGAAAAAATTGACTTTTTTCTCCTACCATGGGGGGGCGCTCTTTTGGGGAGTAAAAATTCCTTCACAAATGTGTTGATGGCTGGACATTGCATCATCCTAGAAAACTTGGAGGCCAGTGAGGACAAAAATAAAAAGTTATAAAACATTTAAGAATGTGGATTTTTGGGTTATTTTTGGCGCCCCCTAGAACCTAAACCATGGGGTGCAGCATCATGATTTGAATAACTTTTAATGGCCATGGGGTGTAGATTGGCCTGAGCAAATGTGGTGCCGGTGGAACGAAAGCCTTCGGAGGAGTTAGCGAAATTCCAATGTGTGCGTATCGGCAAAAAATGCGGAATAACCCTTTAACTGTACATTTGACAGATACGCGCGCATTGACTTTTTTGTAGATCTTATTGAGTTACATGTGTGTGTCAATTTTTGTGTCATTTTGACAAAGCGTATAGGCGTGACACTCAACAATGTGTATTTTCACCTTAGGGGACAAGAAAAAATGGACTTTTTTCTCCTGCCATGGGGGGGCGCTCTTTTGGGGAGTAAAAATTCCTTCACAAATGTGTTGATGGCTGGACATTGCATCATCCTAGAAAACTTGGAGGCCAGTGAGGACAAAAATAAAAAGTTATAGAACTTTTAAATATGTGGATTTTAGTGTTATCTTTGGCGCCCCCTAGAACCTAAACCTTGGGGTGCAGCGTCATGATTTGAATAACTTTTAATGGCCACGGGGTGTAGATTGGCCTGAGCAAATGTGGTGCCGGTGGAACGAAAGCCTTCGGAGGAGTTAGCGAAATTCCAATGTGTGCGGATCGGCAAAAAATGCGAAATAACCCTTTAACCGTAATTTTGACAGATACGGCCGCACTGACTTTTTTGTAGATCTTATTGAGATACATATGTGTGTCAATTTTTGTGTCAATATGACAAAGCGTACAGGCGTGACAGTCAATAGTGTGAATTTCCACCTTAGGGGGCGCTATGGAGCCATTTTGCATTTTATTGTTTGGGCGACTTCAGAATATCGAATTTTTCACCAGGCCCGGTCGTCCTGCCAAATTTCATGAGTTTTCGCCAGTGGGAAGTGGGCCATTTTCCAGTTCAAAGGGGAGGAAAAAGAAGAAAGAAAGAAAGAAAGAAAGAAAGAAAGAAAGAAACAAAGAAAAACCACTTGGGGAATAATAGGGCCTACGCCCGGCTGCTCTGCAGCTGGCTCGGGCCCTAAAGAAAGAAAGAAACAAAGAAAAACCACTTGGGGAATAATAGGGCCTACGCCCGGCTGCTCTGCAGCTGGCTCGGGCCCTAAAGAAAGAAAGAAAGAAAGAAAGAAAGAAAGAAGAAAGAAAAACCTATACAGGAATAATAGGGCTCTACGCCCGGCTGCTCTGCAGCTGGCTCGGGCCCTAAAGAAACAAAGAAAAACCCCTACAGGAATAACAGGGCCTACGCCCGGCTGCTCTGCAGCTGGCTCGGGCCCTAAAAACCCCTACAGGAATAACAGGGCCTACGCCCGGCTGCTCTGCAGCTGGCTCGGGCCCTAAAGATCGGAGTGGGACTTTAAAGGTAGCAAAGATGTGCTCATTCATATAAAGAAAGACCAAACACAACATAAACAGTAAAGTAAGATTTATTCTTATGGCTTTAAATAAAATTCCTGTCAGTGAGATTTAACAACTCTGTTTCAAACTCTGGCTGGAGGCTGTGATGTCACACTGATGTACTTTACAGCAAATAAAAATATGTCCCTTTGACAGCAGAAAAGAACAGTGATGAATAATTTAAGGTAAAAACTACTACATCCTGGTGGGTTTTCTATTATAGTGGTGCTTTCAAATACACCCTGACTCACAGAGAGCCAGCTGCAGGCAACCGCCTGAGTCACCCTGTTCTGTATTTAGCTGCACGTCAGTGTGACATCATAGATCTGGACTGGATAGAGAAGGCAGTGGCAAATGTTCACCATTACAGATGTCCTCAGTGTCGTTAGAATATCACATGGCAATGCTGAAACACAGCAGTATGCAAGTCCCTGCAATATATATGTTAAACATTTATTTAAATATTAGGATTTTAATAAGAATGGCTTTAACAAAAACTGTCTGACAATAACCAATTTTTGCATGTGACCGATAATGTCATACCATACAAATATAATATCAACACTGTGGCCTTTTACACCTTGATCACTTGTGCAAAATAATTACTTATTTGATAATCACAATTCTTTCCACATCATAATTTTGCGGTCATTTTATCAAAATTTGATGCACGTTTCACACTATTTTTTAAAATTCTTGACAATAAGTTCATTTGACCAAGAATCAAAGCAGCCAGTGATAACATAAAAGAATGATTCGATCTTTTCTTCCTTTCCTCTTAAATCTAAGTCCAAACATAGACAGAAAGACAGGAATACACACATACACCCACCATATGAGACCCATGAAATGTTCTTTTCCCAAACTGTTTGACCCTGAAAGCTTTACACAGACTCTTGACAATAAGCTTCAGACACACTCAGCAGGCAAGCGACAGCCAGGTCAACACAAAAGCACAAGGGTCACTGCAACAGTGCGAGCAACACATGACATTTGAAATAGGACACTTCTGACAACCAGTCAATGCACAACATAAATATGGCCCAATTTCCATCACAAATTTAAAGAACGTTTGGAGATCAATCAAAACAGTTGCAAAAGCATGCAAGTTTTTGGCAAAAAAGAACATCGCTTGGCGAAAGAAACAAAGTCTTGCTGGTTGAACAGTAGCTCTTCGCTGGTCATAGGGAGCAGCCTGGTAATGTACAGTAAAAGCATCTTTTTCTCCATCGTGTCAATCTTCCGGATAGGACTGAGAGCACAGTCTGTCACTTTGATTTGTGTGTAAAATCTCCACGGGAAGGCTAAAAGCAATCCAGCTCAGTCTTTTAAGTCATTGTGGGTTTTTTTCCAGACCACAGAAGGAGCAGAGGAGGAAATCTGGAGGTATTGCACATTCGCATCCACGCACACTCATACATCTAAACAAAGCCCTCTCATTTGCCCTGTCTTTATCTTCACCATCATTATCTGTCCTACATCACATTTTCAAACAGCTGCATGGATCTCATCATGGTTTCATCCTGCAGAGAGAGAAGATAAATAATCAGAGCAGAATGATGCAACTAACCGGCAGTGTACAGTAATAATTGTATAATGGAATATCAGTACAGTTTGTCCTACTGCACAGCTGGAGGGAAGCACTGTTTTGCATGTATAACATCAGTTTACTTTGTACATTGAACAAGACATCAGTTTTAAGCATTTCATACCTCTGGAGGAGTGTTATTATTTGAATACTTATAAATATTTAAACAATTATTTAATGTGTCTCACACAAATTTCCTAATAGGATATTAAAGTGTAAGACTTTGGATATGTTGCTATGTAACGTAACGTAACGTAACGTAACGTAACGTAACCTAATGTAACGTGACATAATGTAACCTAATGTAACGTGACATAATGTAACATGACATAATGTAACATGACATAATGTAACGTGATGTAACGTAACAAAACGTAATGTGATGTAATGTAATGTGACGTGATGTAACATAATGTAATGTAACGCAAAGCAACATAAATCAAAGCATCATAATGCCAAGCAATGTTATGCATAGCAATGTAATGTAACAAGACATAATCAACTTAACGCAATGTAACATAACCAGCATGCTGTCATATAATGTAACTTAACATAAGTGACATAACACAGAAAACACTGTCACATAACGTAACGTAATTCAATGCAACATAACATAACTAGCGTAACCTACTATTAAACTGCATATATTTTTACATTTGTATGAGTAGTGCTATTTATAAATTTAAATTCGAAGGGTGATTCTATTCTGATGATGCACTTTCATCTTTTATTGTGCTTTGAAAAAAAATTTCATTTATTTTTGAAATAAATTAAATTAATTTTGACAAGTCGGTCCGTGCTTGTTTATCCCCGTCCTATTTTTAGACAATAAAATTACATCCTGAGGTCCAGACAGTCAACACCCTAGAAACATGTTGAAAAACCACTGAATAGTTTCAAAGTAACTACAAGTGAAATCAGTATAATATTTCCTGCATACCCTGACACCAAGGCTTGTTTTAGCCCACCTCATTAGACAAGAGACCTTTTCGCTCTTATATATGTCATGGAAAGAATGGTGGTGGGAGGTTAGAACTGTTGCCTCACAGCAAGATGATTACTGGTCTGTATCCTGGTTGGGGTCTTGTAGAGTTTACATGTTCTCCCATGCATGTATAGGTTTCCCCTGGGTAGTCCAGCTTCTTCTCACAAGCCAAAGACATGCTCATTAAATTAACTGGTCAATCTTAAATTGCTCTAAATTTCTCCTCTGGGAAATTTTGAGTGCCAGAGGCTTTATTTCCTCTACTCTGGTGTGTTTTTAAGCACTTATTTTTTATTACATGTCTTTTAATCTGGTAATGCAGGGACTTATTTCTGTGTGGTGGATCTGCCTGTTCCTTTCAACCCATAATCTGTAACAGAACACTGGTTCTGCATTAAAACTGATGTTTACAGGAGGTAAAGGCTCTTAAAAATTGAAGTGTACGTTGTTGGCTTTCCACCCAGCCCACCTTTGCACATAGATGCCACATGCTCCACCTGACTTAGAATTTCAAATATGAGGAAAAGCATACCTCCTGGCAGGCGATAACAAACTCCTCTAAAGTCACGACTCCATCTTTGTTTTTGTCCATTTTCTGCAAAAAAAAAAAAAAAAACGAAACATAAAAACATTTACAAAGGAAATATATTAATACATTTAATGTGTTGCATTTGCCAAAAACTTAAATAATACCAAAGCAAATGATTTGGAAATTTACATAAGAAGAGACAGTAGGAGCCAAGTTTCTGCCTGTCACTTTTTTAATCATTTGAATTTTACCCGAAAAAAGGCATCCACATGCTGCTGTGGGACATCCCCTTTGAGTGCAGGGTAAGTGTATTTCCCCATCATGTCATAAATGGCCCTCACAATCTCAGTCATTTCCTGAAAGAGGAGAAGAATCCCATTGAGGTTTAACACACCAAAAGTAGATGATACATGTAACACTGCAAACTCTGTGACAGCAGAAGAGTCTCACCTCTCTGTTTATGTAGCCATCTCTGTTAATATCATAGAGGTGAAACGTCCACTCCAGTTTTTCTCTCAGTGTTCCTCGTAGCAGTGTAGACAAACCCACTACAAAGTCCTGACAAAAAAACAAAGACACAAAAACAAATTGAGTCTCAATTTAAAAACACACTGCACAAAGTGAAGCAAAAAAGTAACCACAGAAGAGGTTTCTACCTTAAACTTGATGGAGCCATTGTTTGTGGTGTCAAATGCATTGAAGAGATAATGTGCATACATGCTTGCGTCTGTAAAAATCAAAACATGATTGTATAAGATTTCCCGTTCTTTAAAAGCTTCACAGAGCAGATGTCAGAGAAATGCAGAAATATTATAGCTTACCTCCATGAGGGAAGAACTGTGCGTAGATGTGTTTAAATGTCTCCTCATTGACCACACCACTTGGACATTCCTGTGGAGGAAAAGGATAAATCAGAGTCCATGAGCTTCATGGTGTTAATGGACGAATTTAATAGAACTTGAATGAGTACTGGTTGGCTAAGTGGTATTAGTGCAGGCCCCAGACACACAAGCTAAAGTCCTTGGCACAGAGAACAGTAGTAAGACTGTCATCTTCTCATATAAAGGCAGAAAATGCCCCAAAATATTACTTTAGGGGGAAAAAAGAGACAGTTTTATGATTTTGAACCTTTGATATTTATCCAGACCACTCTTCTGCCACAAATGGATGTAGGCTAGCATGTTTGCTAGCACGCTAACAGAGGTTTACCTCCTGTTTTTTTTTTGTATATTTAAAGACATTTTTCACAACAATTAAGCTAAAAAAAAGCACGATTTAATGCTTTTTGATTCTCTAAAATACTACCATCTATCAGGTGACACCAGCCAGTTAAAACTTTAACAATCAAAGACAACTATTTGGGACCAAACAATGACAAAAAAGGCATTAACATTAATCTAGGTTGCTTTTGTACTTTTTTTTTTTTTTTTTTTACCAATTAACACATGCTAGTATGCAAAAATATATCCATAACATAAATGAGATTTTAATTTCACTATAACGATGTCAACATGCTAAAGCACAAGACTATGACTGTGAACAAGGTTAGCATTAGCCTGTATCTGCATGACAATAGCAGAATACTTCTGTTGCTGTATGTTAGTATTCAGCCGTTCTATATTTTCTGATGTTCCTAGTGTCTGGAATACATTCTCTGGTTACACTGAAGTATTTAGGTAATAAAACAAGAATAAATGTGATTACATTCTTGAAGCCACGGTAGAGGATCTGCAGCTCCTGTTTGGTGAAGTTAGTTTGGGCTTCTAACTGCTCAAGACCCTCTGGTCTGTGACACACCGTCGTCATCTCCAGCTCGTCATCGATTTTATCTACAAGGATGAGTGAAAGAGAGACACCCAAAGACAGATACTTAGCACACAGACCCATGATCCCTAGTAATCATATCATCTTTGTCGTCTTTAGAAAGCAGTGATGCACAGAATAAGACGACTCAGCAAAGTCTCTGACTGTAAAACCTGCAAAAACAATTTCAAACATTTGATTAGACGGCAAAAAAAAAAAAAAATGCTTACAAGGCAGGTGAAGCAGCAGAATAACAAAGCAGAGAGAGAATCACATCAAGGTAAAAACGGGAGATAAAAAAATTGATTTGCAGGGGGGCTACATGTACTTGACAAATAGAGCTACCCTCAGGAGATGAGGGAATTTATTAATGGCTTCATGGGGCTCAGTATCGGGTGCTGTGGAGATGGATGGTGCTTAATGATGTGAGAATGTATGGTCCTGCTGCTTTAGGTGAGTATGAGTGTGTCCAGCAACAGGGCAACACTGATATCCTGACACTGAGAGAGGACACAAAACACACAGGAAAAAAAATGTGGAGAAAATAAACACATAAGGTACTCTCTGGATACTTTTATCACCTTCACTTTATGAGGGAGCAAATATTGTACCAATTTAATGTAAAGACGGACGCACACATCCACAGGCTTGGATTTGTGTGAGGGTGGCACTTTTACACAGGCTGTGACTTGCAGGATTTTATCTCCAAACTGGTCCCTCAGATGCAATTTACCACGATTTTATAGAGTGATATGACACATCCTTGATTTTTACTTCCATTAGATCCTCTTAAAACCCACAAGCAACACATTAAATACTTAAACATTATAGCACTCATGCACAGGCTTAAAAAGGATCGTGTGGCTGTAGCAGAACAGTTGGCACAGTCAGTCTTTTAGAAAAGAAGATTAAATGAATATAATACTTCGGGGCTTTTTGGACGGCAGTGATGACTCATTCTGTTCAGTCCTTCCTGCAGCAGGGTCAGGATTAATCCTCGACACTGAAACTGTATCTGGTGTCATAAATCATCTGCCAGAGACGATCCTAATTAGAAGTCTAGATCAAATATCTAATTGGTTATCAACTTTTAAGCATTAAGTGTACGCAATAAAAAGTTCTGGAGCTCAGATTAGCCACATTTGCATGATTGCTTTTAGTTTTTATCGTAGAATCATGCCCATTTGTTTATTATTAATTATATTGCAGTTTTAGTCCTTGAAACAAGGTCCTTACTATTATGCATTTGCATGTGTTTACTGAGATCAAACCTTTTCTAAAAGCTTACAAATATGTAGGTTATATAAAGTATTCATGAGACCCCCTTTTTGATTTCATGCTAAATCAGAAATTATGTAAACAAACTTATAAAGGGGTTTTCAAAAGGATTGTCTTTATGCGTTTGAATCAGTTGGAGTAATCCAGAGAGATAATGTGCCTGAGAGATTTGGGGATTAATTGTGAAATTAGCATATCCAAAGACAGATTATTATTTTACTCCTCAGATTTATCCCTGCTAGGCCCCACTTTCAGAACCTTTCTGATTATACTGCAATATTATACTTCTTTTTATACTATTTCTTGTCAGTCATCATTGCATGAGGTTATGTGTTGCTATCTTTCAATCCTCTCCAAATCTTCCCCCGAGCTCCTGCTGTGATCTCCTTGCTTCCCGTTGTCATGACGATAGACAACCAGGATGGATGTGACCAGTGGTTGGTTATCTGAACCAACAGAAGAAGGAAACTGTGACAGACACAGTTTATACAAAAAATTATCACTTTAATATTTGAAAAAAAAAAAAGAAGGTGTCGTTCGATGGTGTGATTGGGAACAGATGAAATGAAATGAGGGCGAGAAAAGGAAGCAGAGGTGTTGATTAGGAGAGGGTGAGACATGGCGATAGAGAGGAAGACGAGGTGTGAAGACAAAAAGGTGAGGACTGTACAATATGTTTAGAGGACACAAAAAAAAGGAAAGAGTGAAAGACAAACACAGATATACTGGACATATTGATTTTGGTGATAAAATAGTGTGACTTAAACATGATAAGACATGCAGTCAGATAAATACTGTCGTCCTTATTTTCAGTGTTGATGCTTGTATGAGAAGCAGGAGTCTTGATGATGTAACTGGGGAACAGCTGCTCTGCACATAAACATTCATCAGCACATACTGGGAGGGACATGTTACATGATGAGGGCACAGAGATAATTAAAGGAGTGTGTCAGGTGCTGGTTTTATGGACAATCTGCAGCTCTGTCGCACTATCTAAATCAAATACAGCAAAAAGCTTTAGGCCACACAAACTATTTGAGGGACCGAGTGCTTAATTGCTGTGGGTCTAAGTGTAGCTTCTACCAACAACAACTGATTTTCTTTTTGTTTTTGTGCACCGTAAAGGCTTATCCCAACAAGTTAGAAAGCACTGTGAGCTGCTTTATACGATCCTGTAATATCCTGTAATGTCTGTAACACTGCAACCAGCATCCATTACTCTAGCTTAGCTCTGTTCAGTTTGTAATGATTAGTCAAAACTCCATCACAACAGTCATTAACTCATAACAACAAAAGCAACACAAGGTACAGCATGTCAGATCAAATCAATCCATGGAAAGGAGACAGAGATATGGTGACACTTAGCAGACTGATGTGAGGTCAGCCTGGGGAACTATTAAACCGCAACCAAGGGTGTAGTAGGGAAAAGGTAGGCAAGATAGTGTCCTGCTGCACAGGAAATAGCAGCAATGGTGGTAAGTGCATCCCTAGCAGTGGAGATAAACTGTGGCTATTTTACAAATTGTGTCAAAGCCAGAAGAAAAAGCTGAATAAGAGCAAAAAAGTCAACATAGATACTCCTGCAGAAGTTTCATTCACCTTATCTGTAGTGACCTTAAGTGGAATTGTTGTGTTTTATGTGAATTATAATGACTAGCCTGGTTAAAGGTAGGGTAGGCAGGATTCCGTTAAAGAGGCATCTTTTTTTGTGGTGTATAAACAACACTTCATTCACGAGCCCAACAAAAGTTTGCGTGCTACAATATCAGACATTAGAAACCAACCAGAAAGTACAGAAAATTGTCTGAATCCTCCTTTAGCCATGACTGTCAACACAAGCAAAAAGTAAATACCAGAGACTCAGGTGGAATAACGGGCGCTTAAAATGGAGGTAGACCGGACAAGAGCTAAGAAGCCGGGTCAACAATGATGGGGGACGATTTGGGATCTTACGGACCCTGTAACATTTCTGCTGGACAGGTAAACCGCTTTAACAAAGTAAGCAAAGTGTCCGTAACAGAGGTGTTTCATGTCTAATGGGACCTGCTGCGTCTTGTAGCACCACTAAACTGTTTAGCTCGGGTCCTGAGAAGTTGTAGAAGTCCTGCAAACATTGTGTTTGCTGGTAGTCTGTTGGCATCTACAGTAGTATCAATGCTTTTTACTTTCATGCTGACTGGGCCCCGTTTGTAATTATCTGAGGTATTTATCTGCATTATATCTGAATTTTATTGAAACGATATGAGCGAGCAGGAGCGTCTGTTTGTGGGTGGGGCTTGCTGGAGCAGAGAGGGAAGGGAGAGGAGGAGCTGAGGGGAAAACTGGTTGGGAGGGGTAGTGTTTACACTCAAGATTTCTCCCAAAAACTGGCACTTCCTCAGATCCCGCCTACCCCACCTTTAATGCAGATGAATGTAAATGTTAGTTTAGTCTTAATTTGCTCCAAAAGAGGCTAAAAGAATCTGTTGCCACTGACCGTAGATCTGCAGGGGTACTCCTCAGCTGTGTAAAAAAAATTTTTTGAAACCAATAATATAATTTTTTTTATCAAAATTTTGTGTCAGCTAGTTTGTGGCTTTAATTGTTAGCTGGATAATCAGCAGGCAAATGTACAGTGATTGGTTAATGAAATAAGAAAACCTTCCTGCTGGGATTACAATCTTCATAACTACCTGTTTCATCACACATGATGGGTCAAAGTCAGGCTAGCAGTTTTCTCCTGCTGTCACACTTAATGCTAAACTAAGCTAAGCTAACTAGCTCCTGCCTGTTGTTTTGTGTGTACAGCACTTATCTTTTCCCTGTGTCTGTTTTATGTAACTCTTGAAAAAGAAGAAAAAATTGTTTATGTTTTATTTCAGACAACAGTGAAGATTATTGCAGTGTCAAATCCACTCCTGTTTTTGACTTAATATATTTTTACTTTCATTTAATGTCACTACAGATCTTTAGCCGCTGTAGTAAACTCTTCTTTTTCATCTGAAAAACTTGTAATCTCTTTCAGCTTGAGACTTATTTTCATTGCTTGCCGCTGTAATTTCCCTCCCTTTCCTGGTTTCCCTGGTTGCTGTGATACTTAAATACCCTCTTTGGGATCAATAAAGTGTTATCTATCTCCTGTTATCTTACTTCTCCAGCATAACTGGCAACAAAAAGGAAACTTTAACGGATCTGAAAAAATAATTTGATTCTGTTTCAATCAAAGGCTGTAATCCAAATATAGCAGAATGGTTCCATTTCAGCTTTTTAAAAGCTGAACACTAACCCTCACCCTCGTCTTGTAAGGTGTAAAGTCCAACCTTAAAGAGTAATTGCTTTGCTTCGCTGCTTCATGGATTTTATCTGCCATTAATTCATCATCCATCCCAGCTGAGGACTGTTCACTCTCTCTCTCCTCTCATGCCCCATAACCCAGTCTCCATGACGACGAGGATCTCAAGCATGAGGCGAGGGAGAGGTATGATATGTGAGCTGCCTGTTAATACACATGCTCACGCCTGAACCCTCATCCTCCTCCTGTTTTCGCTGTCACTCACTCTCTGGCGCCTTCAAGCACACACTAACACACACGCATATAAACAGGCACACACACACAAACACACAGACATCTAATCACAGAGTCAGGGGCTGTGATTTTAGCTCTCTGCTTGTTTTCAAGGGCATCCTACTTCATGGCACGCTGTAATCTCTCCATCATGAGCAGTATGTGCTACGGCTCACAGCTCACACCTCCTGTCGCTTAATCCCTCAAAATTCTGCTGCCACTTCCTGAGGTGTATATTTGTCCCTTTTTTGTTTTAAAAGAAAAGGTTATTTAAACATTTTTTGTGTGTAAAAAATAATGCATAGTTCGTTAATATACTTAATGCAATTTTGACATATGTCAGTAACATTTATCTGCACTTGCAGGTCCTTTTTTTTCATTTTACCTGACCTCTTTGCTCAATGTTAGAGTGTGCAAAACAAAGAAAACAGCACTGACATGAGCACAAACACTTTGCTCTTCCTGAGTTCCGTGCTCAATGATTTTAAATTTATGCAAATAAATGTGGCTGAAAATTTGATTTTTTTTCTTTTGCCGTGAGTGCAAACCTGCATATCATGAAAAACAGCACAGGAACAGACTCATATTATTATTACAGTAGAGGCAAATAGTGAACTGCATGTTCTCGCTTTGTCTGTTATGTCTTCCACTTAGCTTTCTCCTGCTGTTTTTTTCTTTTCTGTATTTTTTTCTGACTGATGTTGACGTACCTCTGGACGGTCTCCTCTGCTTGGTTTGCATGGTCAGAGTGCCCACCACTGCACCCATGTTGTCACTGTGGAAACCAGCCCGGTCAAACAAACCCAGAGAGTAACAACAGTCCTCTATTTAGTCCACGCTCTTGTCTGTCAGCCTGCTGGTGAGTCTTTCGCTGCCTGCACGGCTCTGGATTTTTAAAGGGGCTTCTCCCCCCTGTTGCTTTCAGATCAGTCACTGAAGGACGACTCTCTTCTTTTAGCTGGTTCTCTTGGATTTGTGATCCTTCTCTCTCTCTCTCTCTCTACACACACACACAAGCCGCTTCTGACTGCTTTTCTGCGCCACTCCCCTCCGCTCTGTGCCTCTTGTTTCATTCACTCATTCATCAGCCTTTTCCCCCTCTTCAGGCTCTTCATACAACTCATGTTATTGTGGCAACCAATTTACAGAGGGATAATACTGCCGACAAATGAATAGCAGCAAGTGAAGAACATGCACTTAAAGCTGACACTTGTTTATTTATTGCTCCCTTACTGCTGTGCATGAGCGTCCATGTCCTGGAGACTAACACACTAACACTAATCCTCAACACTGACCCGGAAATCTGTTTTTTTTTTTTTTTTTCCTAATTCTGGGACACAATGTTGGAACAAGCTGTCCCTGAAAGTAGGCTAAGTCAGTAGGAAAGAGGCTAAGTCAAAAACCTCCCACACAAACACAAACACTCAACTGGATTGTTAATGATGATGAGTTCAACACCACTTCATTTAGTGCTCTGCTCGGTGACGCATGTTGTGTACCACGATGAGCGTGTAGTTAGCTGTAATTGCTGTCCATTTGTGTGAGGGTTTTGCTGGTTTGTTCACCACGGCAACGTGACTACACCTTCTCCCTTCTTTCTTTTATTTTACTGCAGAGGGCAACAAAGAATGAGTAATTTCTTTTTCTGCAATAGAAAGGGGAACATTAGAGTGTTTGATGGCGTCCATGTATTCTCGCTGAGCAGCCTCAATTTGGGAAAATGACTGTGTGCATTAGGAGAGGCAAAGCAGCAGGAGTGAGTAATGTTTATTTCCCCGCAAGAGCTGAGCATTAAAAACCAAACAGCCTTGTTGGAAGTAGAAGTTAGTGTTTATTAGATTATGATAGCTTTTTCTACTTAAACAGAATCAGTCACGATAAAAAGAAATGATGGGAGAGTATGTTTCGGACGGGCTCTGGATCTTTGTTTTTTGTTTTGTAAAGAGAGTGAAGTGCAGAAAACACGGACGCCTTTTTAAATATTCTACTCCCTCTCTCTGTTTCTGCGTATAGGAGGAATTCAGAAAACTGCTCTTGGATTTAAAAAATTCATGCGCTGCCATGCTTTCTATGCCTTCTCAGCCTTCTCCTTTCTTGGAAGTTACACTCTCTTCTTCACTCGGTAGTAGAGGAAGGTACATTTTTAGCACTAGTACAGTACAATAGTTTAGACCAACTCTTATGGGTTACACATGGCAGTATGTGGCCCCAAATTGCCCCTGATGGGCATACTAGCGGTGTGTTAATTGGCTTGGTTAATCATATAGATGCTTTACATGGCAGCCTCTACTGTGTTAAGTGGTGCAGTGGGTGAATGTTACATGAGGTCCACATAAATACAGTCCATTTTGCAGTTTCCATTTAAAGCCATGCATTCAAAACTTCCTCAAAAACTCAATATGAGCACCACATCATGTTGTAAAAGCAAAAGTCGAGGAAGAGGCATGTCAAATCGGAGGACATTATTATACTGGACTAAAACTTGTTTGTTCTGTGATGCATGTGAAGGGCTCCTCTCTAGATGAGTTCTCGTAGCTAATGGATATAATGATGAATGCTGTCATGTGTACGTTAATTACTGCTGCAGCTGGAAAAGATCAAGCTATATTTATTTATGATAGGCCCTTATGTACTGCTGAGCGGTTCAGCTAATGATGACCAAGGACACCCAGATCATTAAAAAGATTTTCTCATACAAACAGGGCTGTTTTAAGACTTGATTAGAAATGAAACTGTTTTTGTGTGGTTAGGGTTAGGGTTAGGGTAAGTTCAGGAGGAAATTCAGGTTCAGATCTTAATCTAGGTGACATTATTTGTGCCTTTAGATACATTTAATCTGTCAGAGAGACTATGTTCTGTACGCTGACACCATTCACTTCCCAACTCATACCCACTCATGTCTCCTGTTCTAATCACCTGTTATTCAAAGGCACTGCAACAGACCTTTATAAACCGCCTCTTACATTGTTGCCGTGTTTGTTGCGGATATGACCTTCCTCTTCTGCCAGTTCATTCATACCATAATTACACACAACCCTTCATCTCATCACCGCTCAGTCCTTAAAGCATCATCAGCTTCATCATCACTTCAGATGTATGTGACATTCTCAGCCATCTTCATATCACCTGGTAATTTCTTCATACTTCGCACAATAAAATATTGGACTAAAAAACAAAGAAATTCCATTTGGAGCCAGAGTAAGATATTAAACATGAATTAAACTAATACATCCTTGGTTTGGGAAATTACTGATGGGTTTTCTGCTCTGGGGGCCTCCCGCTGTCAAAGTGCTCCGACATCCAGAACCACAGAGTCTGAAACCCTCTTCGTTTTGCACCAGAGCTGTGATGCAGCCCGGCCGTCACCATGCCTTCCTGCTGTCATACTGATCCTGCAACCACTTGATATTGGTGTCCCTGTGTGTCATTTCACATCATGTTACAGTGATGCTGAAGTGAGAGAAGTGAAGACCTAGCACAAGCTTTTCATACTGTCAGACATAATCACACACGGTCCTGTTGCATCCTGCCTGCTCTTGCCTTTGCAACACCTCTGTAACTCTAATACAGACACAGTGATGGGACAACTTCAGCCAACCATCATGCCTCTAAAATATTCATGGGAGAAGGTGAGACAGTATGAAAAAGGCTTACATTTCCAATATACACTGATTCACCTGCTGGTGCTGCCAAAATTAAAATAGTTCCTGTCTAACAATCTTCTCCAGAATATCTTCCAAATTATTTATGCTTACAGTTTGCCAAGTGTATCTAGTGCAGCTCTGGGCTGTCCCAAAAACCCTATAAATGGATGCTTTTTGGTGTCTAATTTTTTTTTGAATGGGGTTGCCAACCTGGTGCACTATCTCTGTCCAAACACAGTTTATGAATATGGGGTGGCCACACACTTCATGAGGGGCATTGGCCACCCCAAACCTTGTCCTAGATCTGCCCCCGTCGTCTTTTCTTTCCAAGATTGACAGCTAGAAGATCTTTAAAATAGTATGACTATAATTTACGAAGAGAGTCATTGCAAATAGGATAGAGCTTTGGCCTTTTTCTGTATATTTGCGAGATAATTACACCTGCCTTTTCATCTCAGTGACTGCACATGAGCATCAGAGAGGTATTTATTACAAATATGCATTAGTCTATGAAGCAACAATGCATGTTTAGCTCATATGGAAGCCATGGTAACCTTTATCCCTGCTGATATGTGTAGTCTCAAAACACACACCTCTCTGGTACTGAAGTATAGCAGTTAGGGAGCAGGTCAAGGTGGTATTAACTGGCAAATTAGGGAGAAATAAAGGTCTACAATAACCATTTTGAGTCATGTGTAACTTTCACTTTCAAAAATCAAATATTACCAAACAGATCAAATAGAGCTCTTCTCTGTTTCACGTCTTTTAAAAAATTTCCCTAAAATACATCACAACAAAGTGATTTCATGAGAGAAAAGAACCACAAGTTCAAAGTGATACTGCGACTGTTTCCATGATTTTTCCCTCTTCTTTTCTCCCATCATAAAGAGATGTAATCCCCTTACACCCTGACACACACACTTACAGATGGAGGGTAAAGTTCAGATAACTATAAGTAACTGCATGTAATCCCCCTGACAGATGTTTGCCATCTGGAGCTGTCTTTCTGCATCATATCAGCTCAACGAAATGACGAGCGCCCGGGACTCTATCATCTCTTCATTATCTTTTAACCACTTCATCAACTCCACAAATCAGAGCGCAGACAATGTTAACTGTAGTGCACACACACAGGGCTGTGTGGAGATCAATACACATTAGACCAATGACAAGCTGAGCTCAGACATTTGGTTGAGATTAGTCAATATTTATTGAATTTATACTCACTGTTTGGGCTGATACAGAACTACTACAATCAATAGATGTATAAATAGAGGCCTGTTAATACTATCTGGCAACAATGGTTGTTAGCATCAATGCCAATAAAGCACCCTGAACTTAAACTTAAACTATCCAGACATGTTTGAGTAACTCACAACATGGGTAGTTTCTTATTTTGATTAGAAGTTGTTTATATCATCGTCAGATATTTTAAACTTGAATCTTAAACAATACAGCCACTCATAATATTGTAACAAGACAGTTGTTTGTTTTGTTATAATGTGAACCCTATCCCTTCAGTAGGCATGACTTCAGCATCTTTTTACTTACAGTCGACTTTCAATTCTGAATCTTGCACCTTCACTTGTTCTCACTTAATTAATCTTAGGCTATTTTCTAAATAATGATAACAATATCTTTTGAAGCCTGTTCAGTTGTCCATCATATATCTAAAAAAAATAAATATAAAACTGAATTTTTTCCTGTTTGCACCATTTATTAATGTAATGAATTATTTCTTCTCCAGAGCATCATCAGATGAAATGTTAAAGAGGTGGGAAAAACCATGATGAGAAAATCCTGTTCAGATCTGGGCGAAAGTGCAGTCTCAAGATGGGATGAGTCAGCAATTTCAGAGCAAGTTCTTTTTTTTTTTTCCCTGTTAGGTAAGAGATCTGCCATCACTAAATTATTGCATCTCTGTTACTCTCCTCTTGAACTGGACATTCCTCTTTTACCTACGTAATCCACATTAGGACAAGTTGTGCTGTGAATGACTCTGATGAAGTAAAAAGGGGTTGCATGATAGTTAAATATTTCTTTTACTGTTTACAAAATGAATTATAGATACTGTTTGTTTCAGTTTGTCCTCTGAAAAGTTGATATTTATTTCAGATTTTGCAAATGTATTGTGTATTCATGTGGTTAATATTGATTGGTCTATTTTTTTCATTGAGAGTAATAAAAAATGTAAGAGGTTTCCTAATCTTGCATTTATTGGTAAGGTAAGAACCAGAAAGATGAAACAGCAGTTTGATCACAATTTTAGTTGTATAAAAATCTTAAAAATTACAAGTCAGAGCCTTGTATTAACTGTTTACTATAAAAAAACAACAACAAGATAGTAAAGAAATTGAACACAGTTCCAACCATTGTACATGAAACCAATATAAACTAACAATCACATCAGTACAAAAGTAAGTTTTTGGTAATATAGGCTTTCACAAAATATGTTGACAACAGCTGTAAAAATTAAAAAGCTTCAATATATTGTTTTCTTTCTTTTTTGTATTGTAAGAGCTATTTATTTGAAGTTAAGTAACACAGCAAAGGCACCAGTGTTTAAGCATTATATGCACACTGAAATATTTAAATATGACTGATTTAGGTAAGTAGAATGTGCAAATATTATCTTTCCCTATATCTGCTATATTTTAATGTATGATAAGTGCTGCATAATTATGTTTAATTGTCTGCTTTGACCACAGTGACCATGAATTTTTCTTGACATGCCTTTGTTTCTTCATAGAGAGCTTTACACGCTTCTGCTATGTTGCTCTCACACCAACAGGTGGCAGCAGAGTACAATATTCCCTGCTACTTCAAACTTGGGTTCTCACTGCAGGCTCATTTTGCCCCTGACTAAATGTAGCATGAGCAAGAGTAAACCAAGTATAACAATACAAGAGCATGTGGGCGGTATGGCACTCATTAAAGCCTACTACTGCAACACCTCAACTCATCTAGTCGTCATGTTCCCTGCAACCTTGACTTTTCCATGTAAAGCGGATTCTATGTGTAAATATCTTTTGGCAAAAAAATAAGATGCTGTGGAAAAATTACGTGGAAATGAGGAACACAGAGAGGGCACAGGATAAAAATAAATCTAGAAGACAGTTACATAAAAGTGTGTAGTGAGGTGATGTAAAAAATTAAAAGCAAAGACACACACACTCTGTCAGCTCTAATCTACTGCTATTACAGTAGCAGAGGAAGAGAAAGACAAGGAGGAGCGGAGGAGGAAGAGTATTTTGGGAGGATGGTTAGCAAATGCAGAGTAATGCTGGGCAGTGCTGGTCACAGCAGAGACATAGTTTGAGCTAAAATCTACATGTGCCGAATGTAAAATCTACATTCAGCGTCTTTGTGTTCTTGAAAAGCGCTTTACAAATGAAATGTATTATGTGCGATAGATCTGAGTTTGCATTTGCAGTGTGAGATGACATGACTTGCTGCAAGGTTATGCACTTAAAGGGCACAAGTGAGTTTTGATAGAGAGGGACAGGTGCAGAATTGGATGCTGAGCATGATTTCACATCTACTTTCTGCATTTTTACAACAGAGCTTCTGTTCAAAAGAAATAAAATTGTTAATACACTAATGTAAGAAAAACAGTTCAGGCGAACATGTCAAAACCCTTTAATTTTTGCCTTAACTTTGTCGATTTGCCTCAGATTTCTTGAACAGAGGCTACGTAGGCTACCAATGCAGTAAGTCCATCGGCTAATGCTAAAGGGACGTTTAGTTAAAATGTCCTTGTGTTTACAGAAAACTACATCAAAAGTGAATTGTACAGCAATGTGCTCAACACTGTTTTCTCAAGTGTAGAGAGAAATTTAAACTTTCGCTGATCAGTCGCTGGTGTATCTATGGAAAGACCAGTAGACTTTAGCTTACTCTGCTACATGCTAAATAAAGTTGATCTACTTAGCTATAATGTAAAGCTACATGAAATAGTTGCACAAGTGCAGAGCAGTCAAATGAAAGGACAACACAGTCTGTCCTGCAGTATCATTCACATTTAGCAGGCTAATGTTAGCTAACATTAGCTTTTCATTTCCTCGATCACCAGTGACATCATGGATACATTTTGTGAAATATCTGAATTTAAAGTTAAAGTTATTAGGGGGTTCATGTTTTCTATGATTGACACCTGATACAGCCTATTGGTGTTCAAGGATTGTGTAGCTCACTCAGGGGGATACGCTGTTTGAGCCAAGCGTCATCACAGCAACTCTCTGTGAGTCTCCCGCCAAAGAGTGGTGGAATGCCTATAACGCTACTGCACAATGCTGGTTTTCAGGAAATGAAGAAAAATCACGGAAATACAGAGAGCTTTTTGGCTTCAAATCCGTATACTGGCGGGAGGCGGAACCAAGTTGTCCACAGTCTATACAGTCTATGGCAGAGACTGGTTAAATTGATGTCTCACTTAGCCTACTAAAGCTCAATTTGTGATCACATATCTTTTCTTAAAACTTCTCTGAAAGTTTGAGAAGATTGTCCAGACTTATCTCTTTACTGTAGGAACAAATAAGCTCTAAGTATTTTTAGCTGTTGATACTTTAAAGAAGATTGTGGGCTTTTATAGCCCCTTGAAACCCAGTTCAACACTATATTTATTTATTCTAGACTACCGTTTTATTAAAAAAAAAAGTTAGCTATATTCTTGTTAAAAATACTTAAACCTTTTTAGTTTCAGTGACTCTCAGAGGCATTTTTTACAAGCAGAACTACAGTATGTGGAAACAGAAGCATTAATGTCTTGAGGACAATAAAATGTATTATCTGGGCACCTTTAGGAACGGCATTAGTCAGACTCAGGCCCAAGGCATATTACTACCCTTGTTTCCTGTGCACTCATGCATTCACTAAATGTCTCAAATTAAATAAACATGCTGTATTTATACTGCTGTATCTGTGAGATGATAATTTTAAAGGTTAACATCAGAGTTGAGAATGCAAGCAAACTGTGGGTTGCAAATTAGGGACTTACATTTTTTCATACCTGACATGGTTGCGTGTGTGAAACGGAACATGCTTGTGTGCACTTATTTTCATGTCTTCCTCCATGCATACGATAGCATACAGGTCCTCTGCACAATCAGCAGAGCAGAGATGATTCTCCTGAGACACGATAATGAGTTAATTGAGCAGAAAAAGGTTCAAACTGGAACAGAATCACGTCCACACTGAGGAAGTAAAGATGTGGTGCCATATGGCATAAACCAACAAGATCAGCTGTTTCTATTTCCTTTGTGATTTCATGCCTCAAAATGATCTTTTATAGTCAATTTAACATTCTGCTGCCCTAAATCAACGATGGACTATATGAAGACTTGTGATTTTCAAAGAAGCTCTCAGAATCTAAGGCGGTGTTTTAAAACACACAAGAAGCTAGGTGAAAGAGACATCAACCACACAGACAAGAAGCAACCACAAACTGCAGTATGGGCTTTAGCGGTGTTTCAGGATTTAAGGGTGCTGCACTGATGAAAACAAAAACAGTTTTTTATTTTTTTACTTAATTGTGAATAAACATTTTAAGCTCAAGAGGATTCATAATGGCAAATGGGCTCATGCCAAGACTTTGATGTGACTGAAAATGTTAAATTTTGTGTTATTTTACCACCAGGCTGGTAAGAACACTGTTGCCATAGTGACTGCAAGACCTCAAATCCGAAGGACAATTTTACGCTCTATTAAAAAAACATAAAAAATTCAACAGAATCTTTTTAAAAAAACAATAGTGTGTATTTGTTGATGGATTCGAAGTGGGGTGATAGATGTTGTGAATGGATGATCGTGAAATTAGAATCTCCTCAGGGGTGTATAAGACCCCCCCCACTTTACTTCAAGTCTTACCTCATCCTTTCAGTTGCTGTTTTGCATAATTACCCATCATCCCAGACAAAATATATATACATATTTTCATTATAACTATGAATACAAGAGGGTTAATTTTACATTGATTCCATGAGCTTATAAAGTCAGTGTTTTTGTCTATTTAATTGTTTTGTGTTACAGTCAGTATGCCCCATCATTCAACTGTGTGCCTAAAAGCTTTGGCAACCTGAGATGTCAAGATAAAGAAGTGATGTTGCATATTTAACACATTGAGTCACACTTACTTTACACCCTGTGCTGTTGCGTTAAATTGGAAAGCTATCCATATTTCATCTTTTACAAGCAGGCAAAAAAGCATTAATTCAGCTCATGGACTGTGATCGAAATGTATCATCCTCAATTTTGTCAGTTTGTAATTATGTCTAGTTAGAGGTGCTTCATTAACTCAGCGATTTTTAATCAAGGAAGCGCATGACGATGCAGCCCCTGCACAGCTCAGTGCACAGTCTTAACCTGAATAACCAGAGGTCAGTGCTTTTGCCGCAACCACAAAGGCACATGAGGGCATCAGGAGGGAAGCAGTAAACATTTAGAGAGGCAGAGCATCGACTGACTGCTGAGATGTTCAATAGAATTCACACTCCATTTCGACTTATCATCTTGTGAGGTTGCAGAGGGGCTGGATAATTGGCATCCACAAACGTCAGCTTTGGCCAAAAAAGTGTCAGAGAGAAAGGAAAAAAGCCTGTAAAACCTGTGTTATTGAAAAAGTAATTTGAAAGCTTTTAAGCTCTGTCTCATGCTTCACACCATAAAAACAATGCCAAAAAGCCTCTGCTTGATGACAAATATACTGTTGCTGCAGAAGTGCTGCCTCTACAACACTGAGCGTGGGCCTTTCCCCCCGCATTACTACTTTGCGTTGGTGCATTATTCCAAGCAGGTAGAGATTAGCCCCTTACTGTAAAAGTAGGTCCAGAATTGTTCCAGTATATCTTTGTTGTATTACATAAAAGGAAGAATAATCCACAGGCTATTAGCTATGTGGATGCATGGCATGACCTAGATTGTCCACCCATGCAGCCAAACTGTAAGTAGGCTGTATTATTTCTGGAATAGCACAGTAGCTGAGAAAGCTTTTGGTTGATAACACACAGTTTAGTCATCAGCAGGTTTTATCAAGCTGTTGGATATATTTCATGTCCCCTGCTTTATAGTATTGAAGTGAAAATATATATACATTCACATGAAAGTCTTGTTTTTATTATTTTGGCTTATATTCAGTAATGTTCAATTGGTAATCCTACTGGACAAATGACATCCAAATGAAAAGGCAATTTATGAAAGTCTGGTCTGTTGATCTATGTGAAGGTAAAAATATATAATAAGATGTTCACTTTTTAAAAGCTAGAATAGAGTAGAGTAAAGTAGAGTAGAATAGAATCTAATATAGTCGAATAGAATAGAATAAAATAGAATTGAATAGAATAGTTGAATACAATAGAATACAGAATAGTGCATAAGGATCATACAAAGTTGTTAAACCTTCTGGCTATGACGCTCTTTTCTGGCAACTAGCCCCCTAAATGCAAAAGAATTATTGAATTATGATATGAGTATTTCTTATTTTTGTCACAATTATTAAAGTAGCAGTCTAAAGTAGAGTTTTGTGGATTATCCTTGCAGTGGTAAAGTATTCTTTGTGACCTTAAATTTGCAGAATGAAGACTGTTGCTCTTCTGTGTCTTTGCTCTGTGATCTTATCCTCATCACCCTTTAAAAAAATCAATGCTCTGCAGTGGATTTTCCTGTAAACCATTCAGAGCTACGTGAGGAGTGTACCCTCAAGTTTGGTGTTAAAAAAGGTCAAAAATAACAAAACTCATGACGTATTCCTGTACATATATTTTAAGACTAAACTTTTATCAAAAAAGTGTGTTTTTTACTGATATGCAGGAGCATTTTCAAAGATAAGGGTTTATTCCCAGCTGCACTCTGACTCAGTGACTGAGCATTTTCCTTTGGCTGCTGAGGTGGAAAATTACTCTCAACTGAGGAAGGCCAATGACTTTTAACACAGAGATAATGAACATGATAAAAGGTTTAGAGTGCGTGACAAATTAAAATTTCCTGCACACAAAGATCCAGTAAAAGGAAAGTAAATTCATGGTTTGTAAATCTGTGGTGGAGTAAAAAAGATACTGAACTTAACTTGTTAAAGTTACAACCCTTATCTGCTTATACCAGTGAATTTTCAACAAAACATTTCATCTTAAATTGACCAATAATTTCTTTATTGTTGATAGCAATACAAGAAATTCGATCAGAGCAGTTTGCTTAATTTAACCTATAATACAGTTGATCTGTAATCTACAGATGTGGACTTAATCTCCCATTGCTGCTATCTATTGCTCTGGAAAAATCGCTGTAATTTCCTCAGTTTAGCTGTCCCTGAGTAAAGAAAATTCCTATCAGTGCTGTACTTCATTTCCTCCACTTTTAAAGTATGGTGAATTTTATTTAATTTTATTTTTGCTATAAAACCTGTTTGTAGTAGTCTCCTAACAAGTCTAGTGTCTCAGAGGAGTATTTATGTAACACTGTGAGTAAGTTTGAGATAAGTTTAACAGAGAATAGTGCTGTGTGTGTAAAATCGGCTCCCTGCTGAGTCAGAGAGGAAACCCTGTGGAGTGAAAATACATTTTGTATCTGAGAATTCATACTTCAATAATGTGCTTACTTCAATAATCTGAAAGGTATGTGCCTCAGAACTGTTGTAGAGTCTGAGAAGTTTTTGTGAGCATTCACTGAGTTTGAAAAGGGTGCTCCAGTACATAGAAATTCAGAGTTTGCTTATGTTTGGTAAACACTGTGATCAGAATGCCCTTTATTGTCATCATACTGAAGTACAACGAGATTGGAGAGCTTCTCAATTTCCAGTGCAATAGATAAGTATAAAAAGAGAAAACAGAAACAGAATTAAGAGATACAAAAAAGGGTACAAAATATATTTGTTTTTTTATATGCTGGATCTACTCTTAAATGATCTGACTCTCTGATTGTTTGTTTGGACTGCCTTACCTGTGGCATGACCAGAGCCTCAATGGGGCCCTAAGAAAAAAATGATTTTGGGGCCCTCTATTTCTGTTAATAATATTGATTGTTGATCATTCACACACCTTCAAGATATGTCCTTTTTTGCGACATTGTTTTGCCGCACAACTGCCTACGTTTTGGATGCTCAGTGCACATTGCACATCAGGAGGCACGTAACAGTAGCAGAGCTTTGACATATCTGCAGTAAAAATCATAGGCCTACATCAGCAGCAGTACTAAAATGTTTTTACTTTATTTTGTTTTATTTCATTTTTATAATAATATATATTTGATCATACAGAAAGCATCACTCAAACATGCCAAAAAAAATAAAATAAATATATATATATATATATATATATATATATATATATATATATATATAATTACTTTATTTATTTATTTATTTTTTGATTGCTCTTGGGGATTCCCTATAGGGCTGCGGGGCCCTAAGCAGGTGCCTAGTTTGGTTATGCCCTGGGCCAGCTCTGGGCATGTCTCTCTCCTCACGCTGTCCGGTACCCTTCTGCTGTTCATCATGTGGAATTTCAGCCTGGTTGTCCTCGTCTGGACTGTCCTGTCTATCATTTTAAATCCATCGTCAGCCTTATTCCACTACACGGCTGCAGAGCTCCTCCAACTCCGGTGCCACCAGTTGGATCCACTCCTGATACAACACCTCGGCTCGGCGATCACTTGCCTTCAACGTCGAAAATACACCCACCGCGGATCCCGATGGAGCTATCATACCGACGACTCCACTGCCATCAATTCCATCTGGTCCAAGACTCGTTATCCGCCGAGAAACTCCGGGAAGAAAGTGGACTGTAGTATGTTAGCCAGCCCAGCCAGGTCGGCTAACGTTAGCTTCACCACCAAGCGCACTGACGTCAAAGTTGGATTACTTAACATCCGCTCTCTTTGGGCAAAGGACAACTTTTGCAGAACCTCCTCCTTGACCGCAAGTATGACTTTTTATGTTTAACTGAGACATGGCAAAATCACAACGACTTTTCTCACCTGAATGAAGCAACACCAACTGGGTTTGTTTACACCTGTCAACCCATAAACTGTATGTAGAATGGACAGCGTCTGCCTCCTCGCTGGGTGAAGCCACTCCGAGAACAGCACCCTCTGGTGACAGGCTGCAGTATAGGTCATAAATCCTGCCTCCTCCTGCAAAGCTTATGGAGCTGTGGACAAACTTTAGAAATTCATTATACAGAACATAAATTTTTTTCCCCCCTGCTTGCGATGTTGACATGTAGTTACTGAAAGACTGGTTTGAGCTCAAGTCCTCTTTTTTCCTTACAGCTCCGTTTTTAAAAGTTATTAGGGGGTTCATGTTTTCTATGATTGACACCTGATACAGCCTATGGGCGTACGAAGATTGTGTAGCGACTCTTGACGACTCTCCCGCTGAATACGCACGATGCTACTGCGCAAATGGTGGAGTGCGTGCAACGCTACTGCGCAATATTGGTTTCAGGAAAAAGAGAAAACAGCAGAATTACCGAGAGCTTTTTGGCTTCAAATCGGTTTACAAGTGGAAGGCGGAACCACGTTGTCCATAGTATATACAGTCTATGTTTCAATCCCGTTTCACCGGGAGAGAAAGATGTCTCATGATAATGTGCCGTGAGACTTTGAAATTCTCGTGTCTCACAGTACCTGCATACCCATTGTTTGAAACAGTGTAAACCACTGTAACCATCCACCCAAACCAAACAAAGATTTTAACAATGACTTCTTTGCCTTTCTCACCCAGATCTGCTCACTCTTGTCCGATGTAATTCTTCTTGGTGACTATAATATACATATGGACAACATCAATCATTTTCACACCAATGAATTCATGTCTTGCCTGGACAGTTTTGGACTAAAACAGTACACTAACTTCCCTACCCTCTCTAAAAGACACATCTTGGATTTGGTTCGCTGCTCTGGTGTTGCTCCCTTTAACTGTTCTGCTGCCGATCTGCCCATCTCTGATCACGTGTTAATTTCCTTCTTCACTAGCAACACTCTATCTAGATTTTAACTGTCACGCCTTATCTCATTCCGCAATATCCAAAACATTAACTTATCAGCCCTCAAAACAGGTATTGACAGCCTCCCCAGCATCAGCTTCTCATGTCAACCTTCGACACCGTCTCCCACACCATCCTTCTTGACAGACTAGCATCTATTGGTTTATCAGACACACCACTGGACTGGTTCACATCTTACCTCACTGGCTGTACACAGTTTATTCAATTAAAAAATTTCAAATCTCAACCATCTCCCCTCTCCTCTGGTGTCCCCCAAGGCTTAATCCTCGGCCCCATCCTGTTCATCATCTACCTTCTCTCTCGGTCACATTTTCTATAAATTCAATATCAATTTACACTGTTATGCAGATGACACCCAGCTCTACCTCTCTACCAAACCCACCTCCACCTTCCCGCCCTTCTCCATCTGTGACTGTTTACAGGAAATCAAATCATAGTTCGCATCCAACTTTCTCAAACTTAACAGTGATAAAACCAAAGTTCTCCCCATTGGCACCAGATCCACCCTCAGTAACTCTCCAAGCTTCACCATCCTCATCAACAACTCCTTTGTTTCCCCCTCCCCTCAGGTCAAGAGTCTGGGTGTTGTCCTTGACAGCACTCTGTCATTCCAAACTCACATTAATTGCATAACCTGGTCAGCCTACTTCCATCTTTGAAACATCAATCGCCTCCGTTCGTCACTTACCCCCAACAGCACTGCCATCCTGGACCATACAATGGTTACATCCCGCCTGGACTATTGCAACTCCCTTCTCATTGGTCTCCCCCATAAGTCTATCCATAAGCTTCAACTGGTCCAGAACGATGTCACCCGTATCATCGCCAGAACACCATCTACCAAGTACATCACACCTGTTCTTCACCAACTTCCCTGGCTTCCCATCAAATACTGCTTGGACTACAAAATTCTGCTCCACATATTTAAGGCCATCTACAACCTCGTTCTTCCATACCTCTCTGAACTCCTCCACATCAACTCTCCCACCCAGACTCTCAGGTCTGCCTCATCCATCAGCCTCATTATGCCTCTGGCTCATCTGTCCAACATGGGATCCAGAGCCTTCAGCCGCGCTGCCCCCCGCCTTTGGAACTCCCTCCCCCCTGACATTAGGAACATTGACTTACTCTCCATCTTCAAATCCTGTCTCAAAATTCATTATTTCAGACAGGCCCACCCAGACTAGCATTTGATGTTCTGCTGCAGAGTCCGGACTTGCAACTTTTTTATTTAATACTTTGTTGTGTTGATGTGTTTTTGATTGATTTTACTATTCTGCTTATGTGTCTTTTAATTACCCTGGAAGGTGTCCTTGAGTGCCCTGAACCTTTTTTTTTCTGTGTTTAGAGGCATAACAAGTACACACAGCTTTGACGACATCACAGCTGTAGTCCAAGACAGTTATGGAGGAAACCAACATTCTTCATCAATGAACTCTGAATTAGAGCAAGCGAGAAATCCATGAGAAACCTCATCATTTGCAAGTGAAAGGTACCTCAAAAGCAGTCCCACACACCCTTTGTTGTATCACTATGCAAATATATGAACATGAACAGTTTCATACCCACATTCTAATGCACTCTTGACAAGATTTGACAAAAATGTTTGATTTCACATGTGATAGAACATAGAGTATATTTTCAAGGAAGTCACAGAAGTAAGGAGGGGAAACAAAGGTAGGTAAAATATCAAATCAGAAATGATAAGTGGAGATAAAGGACAGCTTAACTTGACTTCCAAGTAAATCGACTCACACCTGATAATGTGTATCATCAGTATAAAAAGAAGAATAAGAATATTCAGGGATGTCCTGATCACAATCTTAACTGTTGGGTGCTTTTTTATGCCAGTTGTCATAAACTGAGCTAGTAGAGTATAAACATGCAGGTGTCTCAGCATCAGCAACCCTGTGGCTACAATGTCAGCAGTGTGGAGGCATTTTCAATCAGACATCAAAAGTAGTCCACGTGCTACCAGCAATGCATGCTATGTACAGTATACGTTTTGCAAAAGGGTAGCTGTAGAGCTGCAACCACAGGTCTGATACTACATCTAAAAATCAAACACACAACTGAATACAGTGCATACAGTGAGGCAACAGAGGAAAAGGCTGCTGCTCCGATTCAACAAACTCTGGACTTAAAGAGTGAAGGAAAATATCCTCAGGAGAGCTAAGATGCCACAAAGATTAGAGAGAAGGTCATTGAATTAGTTGCTTTGGACAACCAGCCCATCTCTGTAATAGAGAATGAAGATTTTTGCTGTCTTTTGGCACTTTTAGATCTACAGTATATCCCCTCTAGGCAGTATATTTCGGTCAACATCCTCCTGCAGCTACACAGTGAAGTTTGTGACAGCACTCGAGATCACTCTAAATATAATGTGGCTGTTCTTTCTTTTTATAACAGATGTTCGGATGTCCTAATTTCCACGTTACTGCAGAGCTTCACTGATAATAATAAAAAATGATAATACTATATTTGAATAGCGCTTTTCAATACAAGTGACACAGCGCTTCACAAAAGGCAATTAATGCAGCTAGGCAGTAGCAAACTTAAAAGCATGCTGCCAATTAAAAGCTTACAGAAATCTTTTGTCACTGAAGTAAACATTTGTGTCAAAATGATGAGCAGTCCAACCGAATATTGAATGTGTCCTTAAATTATTTTAATTCTTTGTCCTAAAAACCTTGTGAAGTCTGGTAATATATAAACAGTTCTATTCAATATTTCAAATGAGGTGATAGTTATATTGAAATAGCCTATGTGTGCACAAAACACAACACTTCATTTATGGTCAATCTGATCTATGAGTAAATAATATCCCGAATTCAATGTGATTTCTTATATATTTTTGCAAGAAAAACAGACCAAAATTTGATTGGCATTTTGGCATAAAATGTGCGCTGAGAGCTGAAATTTACTTTTAAAAAGCAACGGATGCTGTTAACATGGCAAATGGCTGATAATGACTAGGCTCTGGCTTGACCTGGAGTTAATGGTACCGTCAGTCACACAATGTATTAGAGCTCAGTAATGGTATGAGTACCGCAATCTAGTTGCAAGGACGAGCTATGTCCTGTTTCAGTGATAAAAGTCTTAAAGTGTTTCACAGAAAGCAGTCGACTCTTATTCTGTTATTTCTGTATTAAAATTGTAGATGTATGACCAAAACACACTGTATCTCATTAGATCAAACTAATTAAAGGTGTAAATGCACCTGTAAGTGTAGGATATAAGGACATGCAAGTTAGAGTATAGATACAAAATACCTTTAGTGAGGGTTCCTGAGACCAGTCTCTGCAGGGACTGGATTAGTTTGAGCACCCCCTGCCTGCAGCGGCTGGTGCAGCCAGCCATCCTGAGGTAGAGCCAAGACTTCACCTAACAAAGCTGTCTCCTCCAAAATATTTCAGAAGAAAGAGAATGTTTTTATGGACTCCCCACAGTGTCCTTTAAGGAGATTTGATGAAAGTGGGAAGGAAAAAAGGGGAAAAAAATGCCTCAGTATTTTTCTTGATATTTGTCTTGATAAGGCATCTTAGAGGGAAAGAAAAAAAACAGCATTTATTTAAGCTTGAAATACAAAAAATATGTATTAATGTTCCTCAGAGTGACACCTGAGTCCTTGTTAACCCATCTGAGAATATTTCATTGTCTCAATCCGAAAGTGCTGCTCAGACATCCAAAGAGAAAAGAAAAAAAAAAAAAAACATTATCGTAGATATATAGAGGTTAGGGTTAAAGGTAGATTTAGATTCTGTACAAGACAGAGAGGCAGAAATGTTGGCTGAAAGCAAACTTTAGTCCCACCGGCAGAGTGTAAATGACTCAAAGAAATCTGAAAGTGAGTAGCTGTTTGACGTAAAAGTTCTAGTTGTCTAAAAAAAAAAAAAATCTGGGGCTCTCCTTCGGCTCCTCTCACCTCCTCTCACTGTTAAATCCCTCTTTTTCTCTTCCTCCTCTGAGCCCTGTCTTTTGCCCTGTGGTCCTGTGAGGTAGCAGCTGTAGCACTTTGTCCTCCCGTATAAATTTCTGTGAGAGGTTTTCCTCAGAGCTGCAGTGGGAACCCTGCGGCTGTGGTCTGTGGAGGAGCTCTGCTCTGGCGCTCTCAGCAGATCTGTGCTGCAGAGAGCGCCAGCAGCCACCACTGAACCCGCCCCCTTTCCAGCCCCCTCTTCTCAGACTCCCTCTCTCCTCCTGTCTCGTATTTTTGTGCCTCTTCACTCTCAGTCTGGTTAGTGCTCTTTTTCTTACCTTTTTATAGAGCCAGTTGTATGATCCCTGATCAAGTAAATAGGGGGGAGCCAAAAATAAGAGAGGTAAAGGTGGGAAGTTGAGTTGTATAAGGCAGCAGCCCAGACCCCTGTGGCTTATTATCTGGGCATGCTCCTATTACAATATCTCTCCCCCCATTGCTTTTTCACAAATGAGCAATCGTTTATTGAACATCACTGTGAAATGACACCATAATATCACGTTTTTTCACACATCCTACAATGTACTTGGACACATCATCAGTGCTATAATCTGCATACTTGGAAAATGTCACATGCCAGCTCATGGTGTTGTATCAGTAATGCAGCTCAATTGAATCTGTATATTTGATTTGTGATTTAGACATTTAGAGCTTTGCTATACTTCCTATGACTTATTTTTTGACCATCAGTCACACAAACCCCTTTCATTGTCTTTAAGGATTTGCCAGCCTGAAAGATTAATCATACCATGCCATAGTTGCAGTGTTAACATTTTGAGGACAGGAATACTTGAAGGTATCTAAACTCTGAAAATGTTCCTAGAAAGCCATTTTCTGTGTTGGATTTCAGCAGATGTCCTTCATGGACAAGAATGTAATAAAAAAAAGTTGATTTCACAAACTCTTTTCCAGAAATAGGATGTACAAAGGGTGTTAATCGGATGTACTCAAAGAAGATATCTCTGCTGACGAAGAACCAAAAGCTCTGTGCCAAGTCCTTCTTTGTGCTATGCAAACAATCGCCCATAAACACAAATTGTACTCTATCACAAAATGACTCTAAGACAGGTTATGTAAGCCTGCAGTTTACTTGTGGAGACAGAGGCTTTTTGTTTTTCACTCCACTGAACTGGGGAATGCTCGAGGAGGGCATGACGCAGTGCTTCCCCCGTCTATTTTCCTCCCGTCATCCTCTGTCTTCTCTATATTTAATGCTTATAGATTTTATTTATCCTCTCACAGGCACAGCTGCAGTTTAGGCAGTCCCTATAGTACAGCATCTCGATCATCTTCATGTGAAGCATACAAACAATACAACAAACAAACAAAAAACTGCGAAAGAACACCGCCATGTTCGTGACTTGAGGTGGTTGTTCTCACAATCCTGTTTGGGTCCCAGGAGAGGAGCACTTTACCCGCAGAGTGGCGGAGTAAAAATAGAAGCATAGTGCCAGCCATAGTGTCCTAAAGAGTATCAGCAAGCGCAGGATATCTAATCACCAAAACATTAGAAGAAGTTATTATCAGAGAAAAAATAAGTATCTTCACATTTAATCCGTTCTTTTCGTTTGGGCTTTCACTTCTTTATTTGACTATCTGTATCCGTTTGATTGACTGGTGCATTTTAGGCATTGTTATGGTTACATTATTGACTCGTAATGTTGACCTTTTTTAAGAACAGTTAATTAAAGGTGGGGTAGGCAGGAATCAGCTAAAGAAGCATCTTTTTTGTGGTGTATATACAAAAAGCTTTTAATATAAGTCAATAGCTATTAGTTATGAAGGAAATTAAGCAATATAACGATGTTGCTGTGTTCCCTTATGCCTGTTTAGTCAACAGTTTAACATTTTTGAGCATCCCGCTCATTCTGACTGTAAACAAAGCCGTTCTCCACCTTCCCTGACCTGATTGGTTGTGAGGCGGACGCTGCTCCCTCAAGTTGTGAGGCACGCTCGAAGAATAATGTTCACGAGCCCAACAAAATTTAGCGTGCTACAATATCGGACTGTAGAAACTAACCAGAAAGTACGGAAAATTGTCTGAATCCTCCTTTGGCTACGACTACTAACACAAGCAAGAAAACAAAGTAAATACCGGAGACTCTGGCAGAATAACGGGCGCTTAAAAAGGAAGTAGACCACTCAGACAAGATCTAAAAAGACGGGTCAACATCAGCATAAACGATGGGGGACGATTTGGGATCTTACAAACCCTGTAACTTTTCTGCTGGACAGGTAAACTGCTTTAACAAAGTAAGCCAAGTGTAACAGAAGTGTTTCTTGTAAAATGGGACCTGCTGCATGTTGTACCACCACTAAACTGTTAAGCTTGGGTCCTGGAGAATTTCACTTTATCCTAGTTGTAGAAGTCCTGCAAACATTGTGTTTGCTGGTTGTCTGTTGGCATCTACAGTAACATCAATGCTTTTTACTTCCATGTTGACTGGGCTCCATTTGTAATTATCTGAAGTATTTTTCTGCATTATATCTGAATTTAATTGAAAGGATAAGAGCGAGCAGGAGCGTCTGTTTGTGGGCGGGGCTTTCTGGAGCAGAGAGGGAGGGGAGAGGAGGAGCTGAGGGGAAAACTGGTTGGGAGGGGTAGAGTTTACATTCAAGATTTCTCCTAAAAACTGGCACTTCCTTAGATCCTGCCTACTCCACCTTTTAGCTGTACACTTCATGTTGCTCTTTTGTAAGTGTCGGCAGTCTTGGTAATCCACCAACTGTTATCTGATGATGTATTAGGGATACACATCACACTCTACCAGAGGCATGTGTAAAGCCCTCTAAACAGAGGTTGTGAGGCTGGTGGTGCTACTTCTTGTAACTCTTTTTAAACCACATTTTGACCTGTTTGATGTTGCTCACCTGCACACTGTGTGATCCAGTGTTTTTCCCCATTGACTTATCTTGCTCAACTTTGTTTCCTAAGTGTTTTCTCACCTTAAGTTGAGGCAGGTTATTTACATTTTGCCAAAAACAAAATTAATCATTTCAGAGAATTTTTAAACAAAGTAACCTTTTTCTTGTATGGCTTTTGTTTGCACCCAAGCATTTTTTTAAAATGAGAAGGGCGTCAGAGTGGAGAAGCAATGTCCAATAGCACATTGCTGCTGAGCTTTTTTGACACTAGATCCTCGCCTGTAGCTTCCATTTAGGCTGTCCTACTCACAGGCTGTGGTCCAGCATGCAGAGTAAGCTTGCAAAAACATAAAAGGATGAGCTGGTTTAACTAAAAATCTAAACCACATCCTCACAAAGATTGCAAGAAAAAAATTAAAGGGGGTTTGAGAGATGATTGATGGTGAAGAAAAAAAAAATCCTGTCCATTTAACTTTGTATTTTACTTCTCTCTGGTCTTTTCTTTCTCTTTCTCTACCCCTCTGGGTCTTAGCCAGTTATATAAACCAATCACGTAAGAGTTTTGGGAACATTACACCTTGTGCCACCTTTTGACCTATTTTATGCAGGACGTCACAAACCACAAAAGGAAAAGCATCACTAGTTCAAACGGTGAATTTTATTTTATAAGCCAGCGAAATGTTCTTCTAATTATAAGCTTTTATATGAAAGATAGTTTGAACAAAGAGTAACAATGTGCATCTCAAATGTGGCGCAATAGAAGTATAAAAATATAAATGTCAATGTGTAAAGATATTTCAAAGTTGTACTTAAGTGTTTGAGTCAATCTGTTCACTTGCTGGTATTCTCATTCACCCGCTGATCTGCCCACTCAGTGTAAGCATGTCTGCACCCTGGAGAGCGTGTGCATGCAAGGCAATGTCAGCACACAGCTCCTCTGGGCACTTACCCTTTTCCTGCTGTCAGGTCATTTTTTTTACAAGCTTGACCCAAACCAGTGCAAATAGTTGCATGTAGCATATTTCATTACAGTAAACTACAAAATATTTATTTTTGAGCTGAAGGGTCATTCACAAAAACAGGATTGCATAGCCTTAAAACATGTCCCCTAATTTTAACTTGCATCTATTCTGGCAGCATTTTTCTGCCTACATGACAAACACTGCTTTTCTCCTAAATTACACTTAACAGCTCTTTAAAACTGTCTTAAAATAAATATCTGCGATTAATATCACTGGAAAGGTCCAAAGGAGGTGAAGAGGAAGAAAAAAGAAATCTTAGTCACATGAAACAATGGTATCCATGGTGATAAAAAGATATTAATAAATAGGTTAAAAAATATTTTCACCTGTTTGAGGAAAATATTGTTGCCATAGTGAATTCAATTCAAGAGTAGCACAGAGAGAACAGGGAGATGTAAAGACACAGTTTGAGAGAAATCAACTTGCTTTGCTCTGAAAGTTAGGTTCAGTGTTCATATATTCGTCCACTTAGGTAATCATGCTGATTGAAACCTCCAAATTTTACTTCCACAGGATTTGCTGTTTTGTCCTGTCTGTTTAAAAGCTGCTGCTGCTGGGTGCAGGCATCCTCTGAACCCTGCAGCAGCACTGCCATGCCTCCTACACTCAGATGTTAAGTCGAGCGAGCCCCCGCACCGAGCATGCTCAGACAAACCTGCTGCTGGATCTCAAGACAGGAGTTAAGCAGTCATCTGCACAGGAAAGGATGAAATGTGACAAGAACAGTAGGAGGCCATAGAGCTGAGATATCTGGCAGAGTCAAGCAGCTTTTGAGTGCTTTAACAGAAACTCACACCCACACAAAAACACGTACAGGACCGTAAAATGTGTACAGTACAGAAACCAAACATATGTGTCCCAAAAACTTCTCACAAAATTTAAGACACAGTAGCTGCGTTTACATGGGGACAAAACATGATGGCCCAATCGGATTAAAAATGTATAATGTAAACAAGCCGATCAGAAGAAATTGTATTCCGACTGAGAGGGGGGGTTCATGATTGTAATCCAAAAACACGTCCATGTATACACTTATTCTGATTGTGACTCTCTGTTGGGGCAAAACTAACCTGACTGTGCATGTGTGCCCTAAGTCAACATGACGCTGTTAGTGACAAGACGTAAACATGGCGTGATCCAAGAGCATTCTGAGCTAGAGCAAGTCCATTCTGAGTGGAGGGAAAAATCCAGGATTGGATGAAGTGAGCCACTGTTCGGTTTGTTGGTTTGTTGACAGCACAGGCAGAAATACAACTCTTCTTCTGCTGTGGTTTTGATTATTA